GATTTCATTGAAAATCAATTAGAATTAAAACATGTTGGATTTATTGAGTGACAATATTATTTATATGACAACAGAAGATTTAAATAATTTATTTTATTTAGTAAAAATAACTTAAAAATACTTACAGGACATTGCAGACAACGAAAACATATGCGCAGAGACCCCAGGTGCACATGTTGTTGGAATGCAATGCTGTTCTTAGAAGAAGATTGACGCATCTAAGTCACATTAAATCAATTATTCCTTCAGGCATGCTAGTTTTTCTTAGAACTTTACGATTGAATGAAACAGAGGGAACAATATATATTTTGTCGTCCCGCACATACACTAGGTAGAAAAAGTATCCGCTCACCAATCCGTGGAATGTGTTTTAATAAAAATATTAATAAAATATATGCGTTTTTGAAGTTCTTTACAGAATATCAGATGCGCTTGCTATTATTACAGTCGCCAAATTTCATGGAATTCCTATGTGCGTTTGCAAAGTTAACGACATTTTTTGAATTGTACTAATGGAGAATAAGCAAAAAAAGTATCCGAAGTATTGTAGTTTCTACCCGTTTAAGATCTGATAATTTTTTGTGCGTTGTCAATAATACAGATTTAGATAATCGAGGGAAAAATCTGCAATTTGTGAGTAAATTTTACGAATTAATCAGCTTTAATCGAAATGTGTGCAAAAGGCAAAGAAATAAGTGTTGATGAGGAAAATAATATTAAAATTAAGGGAGGACGGTAAAAGCTTACGTGAAATTGGACGAGTTGTCAACAGAACGGAGTCATTAGTGCGACACGTCATTCAGACTTTCAAAAAAACGGGAATTATTACTTCAAAGCCTCGATCTGAACGTCCGACTGATCGGGAAATACGCAAAGTTGTATCTCTTGTAAAGGTTAATCCGCGTTTAAAAAACAATATGCAGCGACACAGCAAGAAAAATATTAAAAAGAGTTGGATATCATGGGCGAGTGGCACGCAAAAAGCCATTCATTTCCTTAAAAAACCGAACATATAACCAAACCCATATCTTTTTGGGAATCAGTTTTATGGTCGGATAAGACCAAATATAGTATATTTGGAAAAAAGGAAGACAGATGGTGTAGCGAAAAACTGGTACGGCCTTTGAAGCGCAAAATCTTACTTCAACCGTAAAGCATGGTGGGGGTGGAGTTCAATTGAGGGGGTGTATAGCAGCAAGTGAAGTTGGTGGCATTGTTTATCTAAATATTTTAAAAAGACAAATGAAGCAAAGTGCTGACAAATTAGGATTGCCAAACGTGTTTTGTTTCCAACAGAACAATGACCCTAAGCTTACAGCGGAACTTGTTCGCCTTTGGCTTCTTTACAATGCTATAAAGCAGATACATTACCCTCCACAATCACCTGACCTCAATCCAATTGAGCATTTAATTGCCGACCTCAAGACCGTTATATTGGACGAATGGAGTAAAATTTCAGCCCAAGATACGAGAAAATTAGTACATTCCATGCCTAAATGTCTAGCAGAAGCTCTAAAATTTCGAGGCTACCCCACTAGCTATTAAACTTTTTAGAATTACTTGATATTATTGTGTTTTGGTTGATGAGCGGAGACTTTTTCTGTTTAAGTTAAGTGTTTTTAAAATGAAAACGAACGCTGCGGCTTTTGTTTAGTGAATAATTTGAAAAAAAAGCGAAAAGATATGATTTAATAACACAAAATAAAAGTTCTTAATTGGTCAATTGGTCAAACTTTTATTTTAGTTCAAAAGATTTTGTACCCAGTGAGCGGAGACTTTTTCCACCTAGTGTATCTATCTATCCACAGGTTTTATGCATAAATCCTACGCTCTCTAGGAATATATATCACCGAATTCTTAATGAGAAACATTTATAGTTGACCGCCACATATATGTATCTACAAACTTAGATTTATATAAAAATCTTCTAGGAGCACAATAAATTTGACTGAGGTAAATTAGTTTTCTTTTGAAACGCCGTAATTTGATCAGAAATTTCTTCGATGGAAGTTGAGGATTTCCTAATACATTTTTTATAGCATACATGTATTTTTGTTGATATTAAGCTTTCAAACCCACAATGCGTCTTATATATATCAGTGTGAGCGGCGAGAAGTCGTAACGCTGCTGCATGTCACTTGAGAACTTTCGAACTTCCAACACAACTGACACTGCCGCCACACAATCAGCTTACAATGTCAATATACCGCAACGCGGAGCAAAGTGGCTTCGCCTGGTGTACCATAAGCTTACCACCAAGGCAATGTTCAGTTGTTCTCGCGTTGGTTTCAGAGCGCTTCGCTTGCTTTTATTTTTCGAATTGTTAATGCACAACTTTTTTGTTGCACACACCTACTGACATGTAAAATTGTATATACATATGTATGTATACATATACACATATACAATACGGATCTGCTTCCCGCTAGTGCTACTGCGGGGCTCTTGCTTCGGTCGCTAGCGCAGTACTTGCATATATCGGTACCTCGAGTCAACCGTCAATTCGCACAGTTGCAGTTATAGCCGCAGCTGCAGTTTTACTTCGACTACGACTCTGAGTTGGAGTTGCAATTGCAGTGATCCGTGTGCCATTCGCTTAAGTCTGGTCCATTTGTGCTTTTGTTCGAAGCTTGACAAACATTTCACTCTTACGGTGTTCTTTTATTTTGCGGTGAAAAGTTTTCTGTCGGACGGACTAACAACGCATTGAAGTTCTGGCTACAGTGTATAAGTTTTGGTGAGTATTTTACAAATATTATTAATATCTATGAAAGTCATGTGAAAAAATCAAGCCGATCAGCTCCAGCCATTTTGGGAAAATTGTGTTCAACGTCTCTGAAAGCAGCGTTTCGAGAAAAATGCGATTGATGTTTTGTGAGCCGATTTCACTACGTTAAAAAATTCTTACAAATACGAAAATTGCTCCTAAACTGATATACTTAAAATTTTCGGAAAATGTTTTCAAATATAAGTACATTAAATATGTATATGGGTATAACCCCTTAGCTCAAAGTACTTACCGTTTCACAGTGCCATAATAATTAGCGAAGTAATTTCTGTACTTGGCGAACAAAAAGTCCATTCGAGATTCTGAAACCACCCTTATATGAACAAAGGGTTACTGGGAGAGTGGTTCCCCCAAAAACATCATTGATCCACATATTCTCGAATAAGACGAACACTACAACATATAGCTGTCATACAAACTGAACGATTGGATTCAACGTCTTGTATGGAAACTTTTTATTTTTGTAAAGGGTATTCTAGCTTCGGTGAAACCGAAGTTATCGATTTTTCTTGTTTATAATATTATAAGTCTAGAAGGTGTAATTCTGGTGTGACTTAAGACCACTGTGCGCTTAGAGAACTTAGACGTGTACGGTGTCGCTAGACAAAAAAAAGCAGCAAGGCAGTTGTCTCGTGTGTATCGAATTATGACACTTTTAGTGGTTTTAAAAAATCGCAAAACTCTTACTTTACTCCAGTAGTACAAACACTAGTGATTTGATTTGCGTGTGTTGTTGCTTCGACAACTAGTATTACTGGCAGCGCTTATGTCTGTTGTAGTTGTAGCTGGGCATTACGCTTTCGTTGTATGATTTTATGTTTTTAAAGTTTTAATTTTTCTTGGCTGACTGTTTGACTGCTGGCACATCCCAGACGGGGTAACCGAACCCAAAGTTGCTAGCATGCGACGATGATGTCTCCAACAAAGCGTGCGACAAGTGGCAACGACAACAATATTTCGAATGACGACGACTATTGCCACCAAAAGTTTATCAATAAAATTCTGACATAAACTTTTTAATTTGATGTGTTATTATCTGGTAGATGTGTTGCTGCTAAAAGTAAGCCACTATATGCGTGTGTAAGTGTATGCGTACTTGCTTAAGTTTTGTAAAGAAAACGTTTATGCATCTGGGTATTAATGTGTTGACACTGGGAATACGCTAGTTTACTCATGCAACTACAAATGTATAAATGTATGTACTTTATAACACATTTTTAAAGTTTATTTCAGCCTCATTCAAGAGGTGACAACATTTAGTGCTTGCAGTCAAAATATACAATAAAAAGTTGGATGGTTGCTTTGGATATTGACAGTTATCACTGATGCTGTTATGGGAATACGGCAAGGAAAAAGGACAGTTGTTTCCTATATAAAGAGCCCATGATGTTAGTTTTGACATAACCAAAAAACTTTATTGCTTGGCGGTCTGCTATTTAATAGTTTTTCAGCCAACAGCAGTATTATTACACTGGTCTACAGCATTTTTACGCACGTGTTACACATGATTTATTTCTGTTGCTTTTATACCTCAAAATAAGAATAAGAATTTAAAAAAAGTTCTGCATTTGCTTTTATGTATAAAAAATAGATATATTCAACTCAATAAAAATACACAAAAATGTTACAAATAAATAATTTATTAAAAGATATTGATCATCTATTTAGGACTTATTCTTACAATAGATATTTTTTAATAGACTCAAAATGTTTAAAAATGAATTACTTACTTTTCCTGTTATGTTCCGTACAAGTTTCTTCTTATTAATCCCCATATATTGTCCATCATTATGCTTTCAGTATACTGGCCTTATTAACGTCTCTCAATTGATGAAAGCGTTCTCGTTGTTCTTTCGAATAAACTAGAAATCAATTTTTTTCAATTTGTAATCATCCTTTCACGTTAACATTTGTTTATATGACCATAATATACATATTAAGTTAACCCCATGTGCAAAGAAAATGTTTTTTTGTTGACCTGTGTTATTTACCATACTAGATTTAGAATTTTTATAATCATCACAATTCCCATAATTTCCAATTTTATCGTTTGTAATTAATTTTTATTCACAACTATATGTATATATGTAGTTTCTAGCTGATAATGAAAACTAAAGTTCGACCAGGTTTTATAAACATATTTTGTATTATGTATTAAAATAGTGAAATTTATTATTTTTATATAGTTTAACTTTTTACGTAAAAAATTTCTATCACAGAATAAATAATTGCCGACTAACATATATATATACAAAATTCTTATCTACTGCATAAATATGATCAAAAAATGCCTACTATCGATAAAAACTTATGATATTCTCTAAAATTTAACACAATATTCTAAAAAATAATAAATACATACAGTATATATGTATTTAAAGATTACGCAGCTTCTGAGACTTAAAAGCATAATTATTTACAGGTTCTTCATCGGCATAAGGTATGTACAAATGCGCATTGTCAACTTTATTTCAGCCAGTTATAGCCGCTTTTAATCCTTTAATCTTATTAACCTTCTCCACACCTACGCTATTTGCGAATTCTTTGCGTGCTTCATCTTTATATTCCTGTATGTTGTAGTGCGATTGCTATGTATAAAAAAATACCAAAAATTATAAATATTTAAGTCAATAAAGAAGTATTTTTTATTACATTAAATGCATCCTGGAATTCGATTTTGGTCAAACGCTGCAAACCGCGGAAGTTTCGCCCCAAAATGCGTCCCAATTCATAGCGTGACACTCGGTAAGCTTCGGTTGTAGTGGAGATTTCCCCACTGCCTGACTGATCCTCATCACTTGTTTTCTAACATGGAAATTATTTATAATATAATAATTTAAGTTTGCGGTGATTATATAATTTAATTTTAATTACCGTTGTACTCGTATGTGGCCTTATTGTTGGTTTTGGAGGAGCGGGATCGCTGAATCCTTCATTCAGTAAATTATAAACATCGCTGAGTGTGTCTCTTGTGTCAACATATTGCTATAATTGGAGAAATAATGTCAGTTAAATAACGATATTCCGAAAAGAACATATCAAAAATATAATATTCGTTATTATAATATTAATACAATAAATAAAACCGAATAAGGAAAGGCTATGTTCGACAGAATCGATTTCTTTATTTTCTCGTATCTTACGTGCTTCTTAAGAGTATTAAATATTTCGCGATGTGTATATGTCCAAATTTATGTAATTTAGAGACATGAAACTTCATTGATCCATATAGAGCTAGTGCAAACAAAATTATGAAAAATATTCTGGAATCAAATATATATACAATGACGGCTCACTCTTAGCTACTAACTATTACTATGGTACAAACTTGTCTTGTATCTACTATAGTAAATAGAGAAACAGTTAGAGGAATCGTTATTAAGGAATTGAGAACTTCGTAATGCTTTTAAAACTAGTACAAATTGGAAGAAAAGTGGAACAGTTGATACTTATAAATACATATATAATACCAGTAAATAAAACTTGCGCTATAATGTAGATTAGAAACTAGGCATAATCTTACAGCTGGAACTCTGGGACAATCGATCTACATAAGCTTATGTAAGTAATTATCAAAGTAATCAAACCTCTGACAAGTTTTATTTAGTACGAAATCTTATCTTACTAAAGCCATCTTTTGGAAAAATAGTGGATTTCTTTTAATATCCTAATAATTCGTATAAAGTTCCTATAAACATACCTATTGGCTGAAATATGCGGTATGAAAATCATTGTTTTGGGATCGAAGAACTAACAGGTGTTTCTGTATACCTGGTTTTCTGTTTATATCATTATTTTTCAGATAGTCATTAATTTTTTTGTAGACGGTTACTAACCGATTTTTTCTTATTTACTGTGGCAAAAGTAATGATTTCCAATTATTTCATCAAGCTTTGAAAAGATAGCTCTAACAGTTTGCGGGATGTGGACGTGGCTTATGGTTTTATGGTTCGATTCCATACATTTTCGAAAACAGACTTTCATTTCCAGTTTTAACTGTGTGTCAATTTTCATCAAGATAGCATGTTATGTTTGTACATACATACGAACGGGCGAACTAGCCGATATCCCTAAAACAACTCCTCGTTATTTCAAAAATTTGGATATATCTAGATAACATCAATATTAGAAATAATTGTCAGGTGAAAAATATTAGTTTACTATTGTAATGGCATAAAAGCGCCAAAGCAAACAGACGAAATATTTTATATATCTATATGAGATGTTTGATCACCGGAAAATTCTATAAGCATTTTTTAGGTATAATGCAATGTGTACTTTAATTTGATATTAATTCGATTTGAATTTTTTACAGTAACTCCTACATGTGTGGCCAAAATATAAATGAATAATTTTTATATGCAAAGGTTTTTTTCTTAAAGAATTAAATAGGAATATTTTCAAATACTTACATCAACAAGTAAATTTTTCGTTGTAACCATTTTCTGAAAAAAGTCCCAAAATATCCCGCGTTTTGTTCGCGATTTTGGAATATCTTCTGGCGCTATTGTTTTAACTGCATCAATTGGTACTCCGTAGGCATCTGCTTCTGTATCCATTTCCTTCGGCAACTGTGTATAAGCTGTGATAATCACCACTGCGGCCAAAAGTAAGCAAATCAAAAATAATTTATGAGATGCCATAGCTTCTGAGTGATTACACTAAAAACTGCAATGAGTCAATAACACATATTTAAACTATTTATTTAATTTAATTAAGTTTTGCTGAAATAGAAATAAATAACAACCTAAGTAGGCGATAATAAAATTATAATTTATTCAATCAAATCATAAAGTAATTTTCATAATTCGATATGAAACACCATTATGGAAACACAAAGATTGGACCATCAACAAAATGCTAAGCAGTCAAAGCGTTGTTGTAGTAGAGTGTGTTCATGGTGCGTTTCACATTATGGCGGCGTAGCAGTGTGTAAAAGTCAGTTTGTGTTTGGTGCAGCGTTGCTTCACGTTCTTCCAATAATCTAAGCTATTTGCGAGCGTTATGTGCCTTCATGAGCAGCTCATTATTTTGGCATTTGACATGCATACATAAGTGACACGTACATACTACATACATATGTACATTATGTTCGTGCGAAGGACACGCAAGCTAACAGAAGCAACAGCAGATTTATATTCATGTAATTGACTATCATCGGATGACTTTGCTGTTGGCATTATTCCCCTTTATCATGTAACAATAATAAGCGGAATAAACCATGCAACATGCAATGACCAGCAAGCGGTAACCAGCTACTACCGAAAACAGATACAAAAAATGTGCAATGTTTTCATCCAATTCACGTACACACTAACATATGTATTCGTTTATTCGATCGGGTGAAAAGCAAGAGAATGCGGCAGAGAGTCATTCTGCCAGACAACAACAATCGCTAGACAGAGGAATTAAGTTTTCGCCTTTCATAGTTGCAGCAATTCGCCAGTGAATCGGCGAAAATCGTTTTGGACACGTTGTTGTTCTGAATGTGTGTGTGTGTGTGTGCATGTATGTATTTATGTAGCCATCCATGTTCTGTTAAATTAGCAGCTAACTGCTCTGTTTGGTATAATTTTGGCATTGACTGAGTTCGAAAACTATTGAACATCATAGCAAACTGAATGCATAATTAATCATTACCCATACATGTATGTTAAACAGGCAAACAATCACGTACTCCTATTTTACCAATTACAAAACTAATTGAAATACGCATCTCTTATTGTGCTAATTGAATTAAAAATGAATTACAAATCATAAATGAATTTGAGGAGTGAGCATGAATTTTGATGTACCAAATGTAATTAAGAGTAATTAAGCGCTACAACCACAAACTATTGTTTTTTAATGTATGCGTAAGAGCTCAATTATTATTAATAAAATGAAATTAATTGCATGTATTTTAATTAAAATTAAATTAATTTTGTAATTTGGGTTGAATTGAAAGTTACGTATTAAATACATGAAAACTTAAGAAGTCACGTGTCAGTACAAAACGTGTGAATGTGTGTGTAATGTCTTTTAAGCATTAAAAAGCAAAAAAATTGCCATTCTTGTTCGAAATATATATAGTATCAATGTATATAAAATATTTGAACTAAAATTTTTAAAGAGGGTGCAACGCCTCTCAAAATTTGTATTTATATTTCTAAGCAAATAGTTACAATCCTTAATAACACTTTACCAAGTTACATCTTTCTGCCCATGTTTAAGTCTTTATCTATTTATTGTATTGTATGTATTGACTTATGGAACGTTATTGGAACTGATATACTTGGGAGATAGGCGGAGGTGTGAATTATAAAAAAATTATGCCAATTATTATCTCTTGTAGTCGCAAACTCTTGGCGTTTTTCGCTCAGTTCAATTTGATGAATTGTTGCCAGTAGCGTTCCCCATTGATGGTTACTCCGCGTTTTAGAGCTCATAATACAGCACGCTATGCTAATCCCAACAAAAGCAGAGTATTACCTTAGCGTCATGTATATTCGGCTTTGCCGTTGATTAGCCAAATCTAAGTTGGCCAGATTTCACATATGAGTTTTGCGTTTAGTGTCGTCGTAATGTATACATTATTCATCACTACTCACAATCCGATGCAAAAACGACTTCTTTTTATAGCGTTCAAGCAGCATTTCTGACATGTAAAATCGTCTGTTAACGTCGCTTGCCTTGAAATCATATGACAACAATTTCTTGGATTTAGAATGTGTACGAGATTCTGTGAACTCATCTTCTGTTTGGCAACAATATTCATGGAAGAGTCCTCGCAGTTAGTCATCTTCAAAAAGTTTCGGCCGCTTAGGACTGAAACAACAAACTTTTAGCACGTTTACTCCGCTAAAGCATATTACCCATAAACTGCCACCCAAACATAATGACTTCGGCTGAGGTTTTCTTCATACTAAAATAATGAAGAAGAACTCCAAAAGACACTTTTTCAGTCACAATGTTCGACGTATTTGAGTGAAAAAAATTACTGTTGTATACTTTTCAAACGAATGACACATACTGAAAAAGACGAACAAGGACAGTAACTTTCCAACGCAAGTCCGGAATATTGGAACAATGGATTAATAATCAAGTTACATCATCACTTAGCATGAATATAGTTATAGACCAAATAACATCACGCCTCTAGTTATGTGTTACTTTCATATCTTCATGGTGATTATACAGTAGCTGGCTTTAAGTTAAACATAGCAGTGCATGTTAACTTATATAATTTCTTTGCTTGGCAGATGAAAACCCGAAAAAGAATTTTGAAAACTAATAACACACACTGACAAAGAAAACCGAACTCAAAAGTACGACCACCGACAGCACTCTACCACTATTTTGTCACCACACTAAATTCAATCTGTTGCATCACAGCTACAGCTGTTACTGCTATCCCTAGTCGCCATGAAATATCCCGTTTTTAGCTTTACACCCGCACGTTTTATGTCTTTTTACAAACTATTTTAATATTTACTTCTCACTCCTTTTATTATGCATAGCTGCTAGCTAGACTGGATGCCTGTCTCATTTGCATACAATCGCTTATAAGTTGCTACATCTGCCTCTCCTCCCACCTCACTCGCCAGCCTCATTATTATGAATAAATGTATGTTTTTGCAATATTAGTCTAGAGGCATTTTTTAAATTAATTTTCGCAAATCGCCTCCAACTTCATTTAATAAAAAGCTTTACAAACGCTTTTGTAGTTTTGACAATTTGTATAAACTTTTGTGTTATTTAATTTTCCACTCTCTGTTTATATGCACATACAAACATAACTACTCGCACTTCTTTTATAGCCACTGGCAAGCCATTTTATATTAATTTTTCTTATTCCTAGAATAAATTCCAATTTAATTGAGCTTGTATGTAGCGTATGCCAGAGCTGAGGTGGATAATTGTGAATGTGTACTATGCATTTGCATATTTTCATTCTCAAACTTTATTAAGCGGTTATTATTAAATAAAACCGTTTAATAAATGGAAGCCTGACACTGAAATAAAATTCACACATTTTATTTTAATTACCGTAAAGGTAGTTTTAGTGACAAATAATAGTAGTCATTAATATATTATTCGGCACTATTTTGAAACTTGTAGAATAAATCAATATAGGTAACACTTAAAAGTAGTTAATATGTCCTGAAATGACAACGAATTCTTTCTTTTGTTTTGATTTAAGGTTTCTAACAACGGAGATAATAAATTTGCCTTTAAATAATTACCAATAATTTGTTTACGTTTGTATATAATTTTACTATTTTATGAATCTAATATAAAAAAATATAGGAAAATTTTTTGAAAGTTCTTAAATCATTCGATGACAATAAAGATATTATGAAGAGTCCAATAATAGTCGACTTAATCAAGAGTTAATTAGTTAAAATATAATACAGGGAAAAAAAATATACTTATTTATTTACTAGTTTTGCTTGGCGCGAAAATGTAAAAATTTCCCACAGGAAACTCACAGCACTTTAAGTACCGCAAATATTTATTTACTCATTAAATACAGCCGACTAAGCAAATTCTAACAAATAAATGTATTAACTGATAAATGAAATAAACTAACCAAAGTAGTGAATTAGCTGCTAAAACAAAACTAACGCAAATATAATAAATGAGAAAAAGCATTTGCAAATAGGCTCAATTAAAAAGTGTATAAAATTAGGAAGTCACCGAAACATATTGGCATTTAATGTAGCTCCATTTAATAAACCGGTGAATGGTCACCAGCAGAAACTAAAATAAAGGTGCAAACACATATTTACACACTTATTTATAATTTAAAATTACACCATTTTATTTTGAATTTCGAAACAATTTATTAAAATTAATGAATGAAAGGCAACATTAAACGAATTATCAAACAGCTAGCCATTTTCTATTTGTGCACACATTCAAATATAATTAATAAACCAGCAAATTTCTAAATGTATTTTCATGTACTAAACGACGAAATGGAAAAAAGTGAAAATACGTTATAGCCAATGTGCTGCAATGGATTCCCAAATATATTTTTGTTGTATTTGCATATAGATGAGATAACCCCATTCACAAAAGTTGGCGCTAATATTAATATGTATATATAGTATATCTATTACATCAAGCGATCAAAAGTAAACAACAATGCAATCAGCTTCCGAATTGGCCATTAAATAAGTTTAGTTCTTTAAGGACTGGCATATTACATACACCTAATTTTGTAGTTATTTAATAGATCTTGAAATAAAGCGCGATTGAAAATTAAGCAACAAAAATAAAAACTTTACGAATTAATTATTTCAAAGCCCTAGTTTACAAGGAGTAAATTTAGCATAACAATTTAATTTTTATTATAGTAGTGTTAAAAAACAGTAATGTCGGAAATAAAAGAACACATGGTCATAACGGAAATATAGGAAACGACAATCTTAAAAATGTTTAATTAAAGAACAGAATCCAATGTGTTATAAACGAAATCCGCAAATTTAAACAAAAATCAAAGTTTGAATCGTATTTGTTTGTTGGGTAAGGTAAGAGTACACATATGGGGATTTTACGCTTATGGCTTGCGCCCGCAGATATGCAACAATATTCGCGTAAATAGTGGCACAAAAACATTTTATTGTTGCAATAACTGTGAAATTTATACATTTAATTAAATTGCAATTGCGCACTCGTACATA